TTACGTTACGGTTTTACATTACGTGTTTACTTCATATTTTTTATTTCCCTATACATTTTTTAGGTTACTCAGTCAGGACGTGTCTGCTTCGAAGAATAATTTCGTCTGCAAAAGGGTGATCACGCGGTGCTCTCTGCGGAGGTGTATATCCCCCCACCTCCCCACCCCTCACCCTACTCTCCTCCGGAGGCCTCGGCGGCTCCCCCCAACAACTTTTCGACAGCAGTTTAAAAATGCTACTGAAGCAAAAATTACGACCGTCGTGGGGACGATGAGAAAGGGGCGAAAAAAGATGAGGGAGCGAGAGAGCTGAAAGTAGAGGCGAGTATAGGAGAGACGTGTATGAGAGCGAGCAAGGGAAGCAGCGAGAGAGAGAGAAAGAGAGCGAGTGAGGGAGTTAAGTGCGCTGGCGGCCAAGAGGGAAATGGGGCGTGGTCGGCCTCAAGGACATTTAGGAAGAACATGAATGGAAGGGGGCGCCGTTGTTGTGCTTGTTTTTATTATAATTATTTTTATTCAAGTTTTCCCGCTGGTGCGGTGCGGGCGCGGCCGGCGCTGGTGTTGCCACTGCTTGCTTGCGCATGCTGCTGCTGCTCCAGCCCTTCCCCGTGAGGGTTTCGAACCCGCCAACGCCGCGACCGTGTCATACACAATTGCGTCCCCTTCTCTCCCCCCCCCCCCTCTCTCTCTCTCTCTCTCTCTCTCTCTCTCTCTCTCTCTCTCTCTCGCTCTCGCTCGCTCACTCGCTCGCCCTGCAAAGGCGCACACAAACCCCTTTAGCACTCACGTGTCTCGCCATCAACTGCACGGATGATTACAAACAAGACACACGGCGCTGCTTGCGCGATGCATTTCTGCGCGCTAAGTCGTGCGTCTATTGCTGGAGGAGGGGGGGATAGGGGAGTCCGCTGCAGAGGGAATGATGGTGTAGTGTCCCTCCGGTCGGCCAGAGTTGAGTTGAGGATAGCCGAGGTTCAATAATGGGGTATTGATTGGTTCTAGTCTCGTGCTATGCCAGCGTAGTGTGCACTTCCACTACACTCATCCCTCTGCGCTCGTGCCCCCTCCATGTCAGGCCACATAGCTTGACTCCGCCCCCTAGAGCCCCTCCCCCCACCCAACACACGATGACATCCATTTTTTTCCTCGTTCTCAATAGCTGAAGAAGCACCATCCCTCCCTCCCACTTTTTTTTTCTTTCATTTTTTTTTCGTGGGTTCGTGTGGGTAGAGCGGAGGAGGGGACTGTGGCGCGGAGGGGTCGCCGGCGGTGCGGTGGCGTGGCGTGGTGCGGCGGTCGTGGTGGGGGTAGAGGGGACAGTGGAGGGGGGAGTGGGGGCCACCTGATTGAGTGCAAAAGGGGTGCTGCTATGACTTTTTATCGGCAGGGGAAAAGCCGCTCAATTTCTTGGTCGCATCAAAAGTTTTTCGCTGGCAGGTAGGAGGAGGAGGAGGAGGAGTGGGAGGACGAAGGGCAGCCGCAGCGGTGCGCCCCTTGCATGATATCATTACTGGGAATCGCTCCCCCCAACCCCCCTCCCTCTCCCCTACCAGAGGGAAAGCGGACGGTGCGGGCCCGTTTGCATCTGCCAAATGAAGCAAAAACCCACCTTAGCGGTGTCACATTACTACTTTTTTACCCCCTTTTTCTCAGAGAAATAAACTCTTTTCTGCGGCGGCGGGGCGGGCCCGTCGCGGGTTCCGTTCCAGTCGTTTAGAACCCCCTCCCCCCCTCTCTCTCCCTCTCTCTGCCCTTCCGTGCAGACGACCTCTTCCCAAAAATTGTCTCCCCGGAATTATTTTGCGAATGAAGAGATTCTCATAGTGTGCCTGGCTGCCGCCGCGTTGCTCTGCGGAGAGCCCCAATGCTTCCGCCAAGCGGGCATAAATCAAACATCACGACTTCCTCTAAAACGTTTCTTCCTCTTTTTTTCTCCCTCTCTCTTTTTATCTCCTCTCTTTCTCTCCCATTGCCGTCTCTTTTCTTATTCTACCTTCTTTATGCCTTTTATGCACCGACTTGTTTCTCTGCTGTGCGGCCAAGGAAGGGCGGGGGTAGGAGGAGGGGAACGTGCCGTCATATATTCACCTCATTCTTTTGTGTTTATCCTGGACTCGGTGTGTGTGTGTGTGTGTGTTTGAATGTGTGTGTGTGCGTGTGCGTGTCCGCTGACAACCAGTTTAGGCCTTATTCGCAAAAGGGCTCGATGTAGGCACTATAGGCAGATAAGCTCGGCTTTGGCCAAGTTAGCCGGCGGCCGATCCGTGGGAAGTAAGCATATTTGGCGTGTCGTCGCCGTGCGTCATCGTTAACATTCCGGTACACGTGTAGCTCGCGTGCATACCCGCCTGTCTGTCACTGCGCGGCGCGGACTGGTCCTTCCCTCGAAGCGCTGAAGCGCTGCCTCTGTATTGCCGCCGGTTTCCTACCCGCGCGTATGGTGCGGAGCTGCGCCCGACTCACGCTCCCCTCCTCCTTAGCTTCTTCTTCTCCTCCTTCTTCTCCTCGCTGTCCACCCTTCTGCCGCTGGTCCTTGCTCTCCGCTTTTTAACATCATTTCCGCAGTAAAATATGAAAATTGTCACCGGTGGCACCCCCTCCCCGTCCCCTGCTCTCCAGTGCGGGATGGTAATGTTTATTTCTTTTTTTTTCTCCCCCTCTCCTCCCTTCTTGGAAACATTCTTTGTAAATAACGTCTGGGCAGCCGCCCTTCGTGTTTCCCCAAGACCCCCATTGCTCTGATTTTCTGTGGCTGCTGGAAATTTCTGACGCCGCGGTTGCGATTTTTCGCGGCCCCGGGTTGTTGTTGTTGTTGTAGCTTTCCCCTTTTCGCCCAGACCGTCCTAATTTGCCTTTCGCGATGCCAATTTTTCTCGTTTTAATGGGCTTTTAACGACTCGCTGATTTGTTCACACCTTGTCCTCACTCAAAATTAATGAGAACGTCTCCCTCCCCCCC